ATATGGTGAAATTGAAATATCAAAAGAGAGTGGATGGCATGGAGACTATTATTCAAATATCACACGAGAAAGAAAACACCAGAACTTGGAAGCTGGATATGGTGAAATGAGTAGGAAAAGAAATTTTTCCAAAGAGATGACACTAGAAAGTGATCAGACAATCAGTAAGGAAAGTAAACGTAGTAAATTTGATGTTGATAAGAAGGGTAAAGTGCCAGTTAAAGATAGTGCTGCTAAAATACCAGTGAGAGTTCCAGATGAGGGTAAAACAAACAAGTGTAAAATTTCAGGAAACAGGCAAGTCAGAGAAAGCAAAGATCCATTGGAGGAAATTAGAAAACTGAAGAAGATCATAGAGGACTTAAAATTCAGAAATGAAAAGGCCTTGACAAAAGAGATTGCAAGAAGATTGAAAGTAGAAAGTGTTTCAAGGAAAAGAGAAATTATTTTGGCGCAAATTTTAGATCACAATCAGAAAATGAAGAGGCAAGTAAAGGAAAGTGATGTTGCACTCACATTAATAGAAAGGGAGAGGGAAAGGATTAATCAGCTCTTGTTAGAGAATGAACGTGCACTAGTAGAAGCTGCAAGAACAAAGGAAAAATTCTCTAGAAGTGTGGAGGAAAAAGACAAAGCTCTGGAGAACAACCAAAAAGAGCTAGAGGATTTTAAGGTGGATTTAAAAAGAAAGGAAGAAACTCATGAAAAAGAAATTGAGAAATATATGGGTGAGGTTTCAAGTATGGAGAAAGAAGTAGGTACATTAAAATTATGTTTGGCAAAGAGGGAAGAATTACATGAAAAGGATTTTGCTGCAGCCAATGAAATACTCAGAGAGAAAGAAAAAGCTTTGGAGAATTTACAGTGTGAAAAAAAACGCATATGTGGAAAAATCAGAAATAAGGGTGAAGAATTACTGTCAATGAAAAAAGTGATAATAAAGGTCCGAAATTCCTTAATAGAGCAGAGGGAGGAACTTTCTGTGTACCAGGTAGAAAAGAGTCCAGGAAATGAGGAAAGGATAAATAGCTTAATAGAGACTGTAACCACAGAAAAGGGTAGAAGTGTCTGTGGAGAAAAATATAATGCCAAGGCACTGAGTCTGGAAGAAGCAATTAATAATCTTGATTGCATCATGCAGGACATCAAGGATCAGTTTGCATCCCTAGAGGATGAATTATCTAAAATAGATGGATACAAATTCAAGCTGATTCAGGATATGGTGGGAGAGAAAGAGAGTCTACAGAATACTCTGAAGTTGCAGCAGGAAAGGTTAAATGAGACTGTAGCAGAACATGAAAACTGTAGAACAGAAATAGAGATTTTAAGTGACTCGCTAGCTTCTGAGGTAGAGAAGTCTAAAAAAGTGTTGGAGGAAGCACAGACTAAGTTGGAACGAAAGGAACAGGAGGCAGAGGCTCTCACTGAATTAAAAAAACAATTAGAAGCAGAACTAGAAACAAATAAAAAACATTGCACATTATTGATTGAGAAGGAAAGTTATTGGAAGCAACAGCTAAGTAATGCTCAGAACTGCATTGAAGAACTAACTGCTGCAAAGAGCTTTCTTGCACAGCAATTACAGGCTATTGATATATCTAAGGAACAACTCCGAAAAGAACTTAAACTTGGAATACCTAAGCAAAAAGTGTGGAACTTAGACCAGGAACTGACAAAAGTGAGTGACTTCAAGAGACAACTTGAGGAAGAAAAGAAAAAGAGCCTAGGTGTTAGTCGCCATTTGTTGGAGGAAAAGAACAGAAACAAAAACTTACTCCGAAAACTTCAGAGGAAAAATGAGAAAAACACACGGGACTCAGACCAGCCATCTCGCTGTACCAGTGAAAGCCAGACAACCAGTTCCCTTGAGGAGGAAATGTACACCATTTTGGAAAATAACAGAAAAGTTCAACTGGCTTTGGAAGCTGAAAGACAGGTATCAGAAGATTTCTACAAAGAGTTGTTGCTAGAGAAACGGAAGAACACATTTTTAAATGACTGCTTCAAACATGAGTGCACAGAATCTTCAAAAGACATGGAGCACCAGCTCTCCTTTTTTGCTTGGATGGCTGATAAGTATCGTGCTAGGATGCGAAGAATGGATGAGCTGTCAAGTACAGTGCAAGAGTTCACAGAAAATTTAGGAGACCAGTGAAATTGTATTATTTCTGTATTTAGAAATGTATGAAATATTTTTGTAACTAATTTCGTAGTAATAATCAAAGTTCGTATATTTTCAGATTTTTGAAATGTGATTGTAAGAGGATTAAGAGAATTTCAATTGCTACAATTGCTTCATAATGGAAATATCTTTTGTAATGTAATATAACATATATTTGAGAAGGGATGATTAGTTATTGATGGTCAGATTCTATAACTTTTTCTCCCTTTTTAACTTATTCCCATTCCCTCTTCATTTTTTTCACACCTCATCTTTTCCTTCCTGCATTCAAGATTAATGGTAATCAAGAAGCAAAAGAGAAATGTTTTTGTTGCCTTTTTATACTACTTAAGTATAAAGTATATATATTAAGTTTATTGATTATATAGATATGTGCTAAAGGAAAAGAATTTGGCCAAGCATAAGAATGAATTACATTTTTTGTATTCAATATCTTCAGTGTTTTAAAGCCAACAGCTTTCTTTATATCTTACAAAATAAATATGAAAAAGTTTCATTTCTAGCTTTCACTCTTGTCTTAAAATATTGAGTTACTTCTGTTGGACAAGATTTTCATCACCAAATGATTTTCTTGTAAAAGGTTTGACATAGTAGTTCTACATATTTTCCAAATTAATGCTTTATGTGATTTATGCAGAACTGTTTCTCTTGCTGTAGTGAATAATTTTTTTGGCAGCAATAAAAGAATATGGAAAAAAACACGTGCCATTAATTAAGCTGTCATGGCATGAACTCTCACCAAAATATGCATTTATAATGAGACAAATGAATTTTATTTACGATGCCTAATGATACAACAATTGGATTTTCTTCATTACCAAAGCATACATAAAAAGTCTTAATGGGGCAGTTAACAATTTTTTTTTTTCTATTCCAGTCTTGGGATTCCAATATGTAACAATGTCAAGAGGCATGTTTTTATTTGACATATATTTAAATTTACACTGAAGGAGGAGAAGGAAAACATGAAGAGAAGAACTAGGGAGGGAGGCTGGGGGTGAGAAATAAAAGTAGAAGAAAGAGAAAAGAGAAAAGAAATGAAAAGAGAGGCGAGAGGATAAGAGAGGAAAGAATAGGAAATGGGAGGAGTGAGCATAAAAAAGAGAGAAAACAGCATAGGAGAAAAAAGAGGATTGGAGAGAAGATAAGGAGAAAGAAAGGGAGAGAATGAGATAAGGTAAGCTAAAGATAGAGAATGAGAGAGAGAATAAAATAAAGATAGAAAGATAAACTGAAAAAGAAAGGGAAAGAGAGTAAAAAGAAAAATAAAAAGTGAGAAAAGAGAGAGGGAAACAAAGAAAAAAAGAGAAAAATGAGGTACATACATTCTCTCTCTCTCTCTCTCTCTCTCTCTCTCTCTCTCTCTCTCTCTCTCTCTCTCTCTCTCTCTCTCTCTCTCTCTCTCTCTCTCTCTCTCTCTCTCTCGTCTGTGTGTGTGTGTGTGTGTGTGTGTGTGTGTGTGTGTGTGTGTGTGTGTGTGTGTGTGTGTGTGTGTGTGTGTGTGTGTGTGTGTGTGTGTGTGTGTGTGTGTGTGTGTGTGTGTGTTTGTCTCTCCCTCTCTCTCTCTCTCTCTCTCTCTGACTCACACTCATCACTCACTCACTCACTCACTCACTCACTCACTCACTCACTCACTCACTCACTCACTCACTCACTCACTCACTCACTCACTCACTCACTCATCACTCACTCACTCACTCACTCACTCACTCACTCCTCTCTCCTCCATCCCCCTCCTCCCTCTCTCTCTGTATGTTTATAGTTTTCCAGTGGCTCTATCAGCTCAATTGATCTGGCTTTATGCCTTTGACCTCTATTTACTAGGAATATAATGCTCAATATAGGTGTCACATTTTCTTGTTGCTACTTATGTAGAATGGGATGCTCGTTGTAACAGGAACTGTACTCCAGTTTCATGAATAATATTTAATCAATGTTTCATACATATGATGTGACTTTTTCATAGCACATCAGTATACTTGAAAAAAAGAAATATATAGAAATTGAGTAAATTCCATTTATTTCTTTAGTAAATTACATTGAGCAAGGTTATACCTTTATAAAACAAGAATGAAGGCAAGGCAAAATTAATTAATGGTTTGCATTTTTTTTTTTTTTTTTAACCTCGTTATTTATGTAAGTTCATGCTTAAAGAATTTAATCGTGATTATAAAAAGAACAGCTGCTAAGTGTGGCAGAAACTTCCAGAAAAATATACCTACAAGTAACAGAAAATTTAATTTTGGCGTGAAATGAAAACTAGGAAGGAAAACATCAAGATAACTCATCCATTTTTGGAAACATTTATTCATAACTTTCCTAAAAAAATTAAATACAACCTGGGTTTATTTAATTAGAATTTCACAACATGCAAGATATATCATAACCTTTTTTTAATACCAAAGAAACATTATTAATCAAGGATATGATTTGGGTATTTTGTTTGTTTGATCTGTTGATGCAGGGAACATGCAGTGTCTACTATAGTTCTGTTTTATTTTTATTTTTATATGTAAAAGGCATAGTCAAAAATAGTTATGACTATTAGGCCTACTTGGCTTCACTTGTTTACCCCAATCTTTTTCTGTGAAAAGATTTTATTCCAATAAATATATTGTTATTAATGGTATAATATTTTAAAAAATGTTTGTCTAATCATCATTATTATTAATAGCTGATAATAATAATAATTATTAGAATATTAATATTAATAGTAAAAATAAAACCCTTTTCCCAAAATTTGAATAGTGTGGTAAATAAGGTAGGCCTAATAATGGACTCCATGATAAATAATGTGCTTGTGGAACCACATTAAGAAAGGGAGAAAACTCCTAACTGGTAAATATTAATTATTCAAAAGGAGTAAAAAGAAAAGAAAAGTTAAAACAAAATCAGTAATATATGTAATTAATAGTGAATTAAAACCTGACAGGAATTCTAATTTTGATATTTTTTCCAGGGTTATACTGCTATTAAAATTTGAACTTATGAGCTTGGGAAACTGATTTTAATTGGCTTTTAAAATAAAGCTTAGAACTGTATGGTGTCATATTATATTCTAGAGGGGTCACATTATGAGGGTAATTCAACAAGTTAAATAAACACCATAATATATCAAATGTAATATTACCCATCTTGGGCTCATATTTTTTATAAATTGGGATGGCTCCAAAAGGTAAAACTATGAATATTTATGGTCAAGATGATTATTTAACCCATAAACTGCTACATCATATGATGAACAGTGTGTAACTGTGACTTGCATAATATGATGTGAAGGTTATTTTTAGATGTCGCAGCTTATATTTTGCTCCCATATATCTTGAAAGGACATTTGGCAGCTTTTGCAAGTCCTCTACACTGTGCTTGAACTAGGGTAAATAATGGACTAATATATTTGATTTTCCTATAATTTCCATGCAATCTTTCATTTTATAACAGTAAAACGTATTTTGGAGAACTTTTTTTTTATGTGATAATTGTGATGCATGGGGATAACAACCGAACAACTGAGTTAATATGTATTTAACATTCTAAGACATGAATCAGGAGGAGAATGAAATAATAGAAGAAAAATGAAAAAAAAAAGGAAATTATTTCTGTATTTGGGATATCTATACTGCCAAAATTAAAATACTATGACACAACCTATATTATAGGTAAAGAAAATGAGATAGAAAAATTAAAAACGACAAGTAAAACCTATACCAGAGGTCGGCAACCCTTGCCAGACTTGGCATGCAAAGCCCTTGTCTATGGCACGCTATGTGACTCAGAGGAGCAAAGAAAAAAGTTAAATGGCAAAATATTATGAGTGAGTGAGAGAGAGAGTGAGTGAGTGAGTGTGAGTGAGTGAGTGAGTGAGTGAGTGAGTGAGTGAGTGAGTGAGTGAGTGAGTGTGAGTGAGTGTGAGTGTGAGTGAGTGAGTGAGTGAGAGTGAGTGAATGAGTGTGAGTGAGTGAATGAGTGTGAGTGAGTGAGAGTGAGTGAGTGAGAGTGAGTGAGAGAGAGAGAGAGAGAGAGAGAGAGTGAGTGAGTGAGTGAGTGAGTGAGTGAGTGAGTGAGTGAGTGAGTGTGAGAGAGAGAGAGTGAGTGTGAGAGTGAGAGTGAGAGTGTGAATGAGAGTGAGAGTGTGAATGAGAGTCTTATTATTATGGTTAGCTAAATTTTAGAATCAAGATATATTGGAATCTACTTCAAATGGACATGCAGACTCGATATTTCGTTCCCAGACACTACTGTCTTGTGAATTCAGTTACATGAAGAAAGTAGCCATGGCATATTGTCAGCATTTGGATTTACATACCAATGTGAGCAAGAAGTTTTCTTACAAGCAGCATACCCTCAGCCCCCATCTAAAATCATAAAATCATAAAATATACATATTTTTTGTTACAAAGAATACTAAATGCAACTTAAGTATTACCTTCATGTTATGCATATGCAGGAAAAAAAAGGCAACCAAGTTTATTAATGAGACGGCATTAATTATCAACTGGCACACTATGTTCAAAAGGTTGCTGACCCCAAACCTATACTGTAGTGTATATTAGTTGTGGATTATAAATCTACATTATTTTTCTGATATATATCTACATACTGTAGGCCCTTAACATTTGAAGCATTGACTTTCATATTCATCTTTATTTGTAAGTTTAGAATCAATAATTTTCCATGTATGTGAATAGTAAGAAAAATAAAGTCTAGAGCAATAAATAAATAAGGCATGAAAATATTTAAAGAAAATATTGCTTTAGAAAAACTTTTTAAGCCTGTCATTCCTGCATCAAGCCCATGTCTTAACTAATGAGGGTGTCTTGGAATATCTAACTTCCCGTGCCCCCAAGTAATTAATTAATTTTCTATCTCACCTCACTGTCACTCTTCATCTTTATAATGGAATCATACAAACAATTCTTAGAAATGAAATGACTACCATAGTCTACTGATAGACAAGCCTCCTGGTACAAGCAATACTTGTAACACATATATCTATATTTTAAACTTTTATGGGGGGTTCTATTTGAGGAATATAAATCTTGTGAATATTAACCCGTTGAATCTGGTTGTGTCACGGTTGCGTAAGTGACCAATATCTCAGGTGTACAGAGCGTTGGCCGGGTGTGCGAACACTTGTGAGCGGTGAGAAGGATCTGTCTCCCTTTTGTATAAACTTTTGAAGCTTTTTTGCCATTTTCCAATTTCCATATTTTTATTTGCTTTATCCACATGGTAACAGACAATAAATAACTCAGTAAAAAAAAAAAAAAAAAAAAAAAAAAAAAAAATTTGAGTCGCATCTATTTTTTGGATAATTTTCAATTTTCTGTAATACAACTTGTGCTGCTGGTCACAGCAGCCAGAAATACGATGCGAAGCATGGAAATGTTATCCTCTCTGAAGCTGGCTTCTTCCAGTCACAGATTGAGCTCCTTACATTCCACATTCTTATATTCATGGGAATAATGCAAAAACCCTCTTGTAAGAACCAAATGAGTCTAATCACACTCCAAGAGGTTTGTGCACTTGTGGTGACCCTTTTCCTCAACCCTGGCCTTCACTCATGATGGCATATTTGCATCACTCGGCCTGGGCCAAGATTTTTCCATGACAGGACCGTTACGCCACCCAGATCATAGGGGTTAAGGGCCCACAGTATTTCTCTTGCTTTCAGTTAAGTAGCCTCTCTTCTCTTAAACTGTAAATTTCTTTATACATCTATTGTAGCCTACATTTCAGAGGTTTGTGATATTTAATAAGTACTGTAAATCTATCTCACACACCACCAAATCTAACATAAAAACAAATTTTGTATGTGTAATATTAAAAAAGAAGAAACAAGAACTACATGTTTAAACAAAACCAAATAGTTCTAATAATTATGAAAAGAGTGAGAAAGAAGAAAAAATACACTTATACTTAAAAAAAGTTTAAAAGATAGTTTAAAAACTGATGGTCAACACTGCAAATGCTCTTTAATTATTGAAGTATTTCCTCAAAATTAAATAGCAAATACTTTTTTCATCCCTTTTTTAATTTCAAAAACTTGTAGATACAGGTTTACTTACAATGACAATCTCATTCTTCATTTAGCCTGTTTTACATTTCAACCCTTCAGAGATGGGTACAGCTATAGCCATCATGATGTAATAGCCAATAACGTAGATATGCATCACAACTTTCAATGGGCTGGCCATCTATGCATAGCTTAGGCCTAAACAAAGTCTAGACTGTTGCATATTATTACATAAAAAAAATTCAGGCCCCATCATCATAGGGTTTTTTGTAAATCACTGCTGCAAGCTTTCTATATTCTAACTAAACTACGCCAAAGCATACATTCACAACAATGGAAAACCTTCATGACTACAGTTACACTTTGGCAAGACTTGTTTATTTTATTTATTATTATTATTTTTTTTTTCAGGTGTTTGTCTTATGAACACAGGATGTAAACTACCATCCAATGTTATATAAATGAATCAATTTAATGAAGCACTTGTGGCAGTTTATTAATCAAAATGTCAGGTACTTTACAAGGTAATTCAGAATCGGTTACACATTTTTCAAAAAGTTGTTTTTCTATTAGACTCTATCAGAAATGTAACATACAGTAAAACGTGCATTATTCCATAATTACTCTTCATATTTTTTTTCTAACCATTATGATTATCCAATAATAAATGGTTCCTCATTATGGACTGTGTAGCTCACTGGGGTGTTGAAGTTGATAACATAAGAAAGAACAAAGATGAATACACAATAGTTCTGGCCATAAATTCTTTCATACAGGAAAATTCTACTTTTTGAACATGCTAATAAAAATGGAAAGAAAAATCCTGGGAATATATTCAGATACATTATACAAAGTTACACTGCTGACAAATGAGCTAACATACAACATTATTTAAGTATTCTACACAACAAAACAACTATTTAGAATGGATAAGGCAAAATATCTAATGGAAACTCCTTAAGATACTTGTAATTATTCATGTTAGCATAATGGTGTAAGAATATTACATTCTATAAACATGTATATTGCAATTATTATAGATGAACATGCATTTTTATGCTATTTACAAGAACTAGAAAATGGTACATTTGCCAAACACAAGATTTTCTATGAAGTCTATCACTGGTGAATAATGTTATCTTTTAACATATGCATGATCTCGACTTTACTTAAGCTGCTAAATCCTTGTATCAGTCAACCAAAGCAAAGCACTGAATATCATACAACAAACATTCAGAGCATACTTACAACCTCTAAACCTCTCACATTACTCCTGAAAAGTCTCTTGATAAAAATTTTCAACATATAAATAAAAACATATATGAGAGAGGCTTTAATTTATGGGAGTTATGATTGCATCATTAGATGAACTGTTGTGATATATAAAAACAGAAGTAAAGAATCCTGGATAGCACTGTATGCCATGATGTGACTCTAGAAAGCTTCATATATTTGGTATTCAAACTGGTGTATGGTCCAAAAAGATGGTATCACCAGTCTAGCTACCACTATTCTGTTATGATTCTTATACAATTTTCATGCATGCTTATTGGTGTATGAAGATGGAAAAAAAAAAAGACAATGAAAAGGAAACAAAAATGTCCTAAGACTTCACAGTACACATCCTGTAAACCAAATATCCTCTCATAACAACGGTATAGACTCTTCCATATATAACAAGGTTTAATTTTGAAGAAATCATTATAGACTAGTTTTGGCAATTAAGAAAACTTAACAATACAATCTTTAATCAATGAAAAACGAAAATTTAGAGACGGGCAAGTGAATGAAAATAACTGACAAAAGTAATAATAATAGGAAATAAGAGCAATAATAATAGTACTACATATAACGATGGTAATTACAATAATGATAATACCAACCATGAATGCGAAAATGAATTTTAACTAAAATCAGGAAGGAAAAAAAGAAAGATATAAGAAGCACTCGGCCATAATTTCTCTCAGCATTTATTCAAACTCTCCCAAAGAATTAAATACAGACCACATTGCCTTTCCTTACTTTAAGCACATGAAAAAACGCATAACTGCTGTCTCTAAAACTCTATTTATTCTTCTCATTATATAACAGTTTGAAATTTATCAAGTTAGTTAACATAAGCAAAAGTAATGATTATCATATTACTATATTAATACCTTAATCATTATTGTTATTAATAATGATAACATTTGTGACAATGACCATTAAGAATGATAATGGAAAAAAAAAAAAAAAATTAACAAGAATACTATGAATGATATTACAATAATTGTACAATCATGGGCCTTGTTTTTTAGCACCAAGAAACAGTAAAGACACCATCTATCCAACATCTTGCACTGGCTACTATCTTGGTACTTGGTCCAGTATTCCTAGACTCTTAGTTACTCTTCAATTTCTTGAACAGGCTATATTAAGAATAAAAAATAACTGATATTTCATGAAAAGGCTACATTATGAAAAAAAAAAAACTGATATTTCATGAAAAGGCTACATTATGAATAAAAAATAACTGATATTTCATGAAAAGGCTACATTATGATTAAAAATAAAAATGACAATTGTGAAAAATAAAGAAGAAAAAAAATCATGTAACATATAACAAGAAAAAAAAAAAAATCAAGAGTGAGAGCTAATCATTAGAATTCGGCCTAATGTAGTTGCTAAAATGCTGATTATGATCATGAAGATGATAAGTACAATGGAAGAGGGAAGGGAAAAAATAAATGCATAAAATAATATGGCTACTATATATATTTACTGGATAATTAAATGTTAAGGTCAACTTTTCCCACATACACACATTCACATACATACACAAACCCATGCTCATTAAAATCTAATAATCTTTTTCCCTGTCTTCTAGTCTTTCTGTGTTGCATTTTTGAAAACTAACATTTCATTCAAATACTTCATGGTAATGAATGTCACAAACATTTTAGTCCCATTACTATTCATTACCAAAATCATGGCCATTTAGTGTGTGTATTGCCGTTGATAAGTGATGATAAATTAACATAAGTTATTAAAAAGTTTTGGACTTTTAAAGTTGGTATAATATATTTTTCATTCTGTAACACAAGCACTAACTCTACCTACTTATACATTTAATACAGTAGTTTACATGTTAACCTTGTAGATTTAAAAACAAACCCAAAAACACATCTATAAATACATAAACAAATACCAAATTATTAAAAAAAAAAAAAAAAAAAAAAAAAAAAAAAAAAAAAAAAATCTGTACTTGTTCCACTTGTTTCACTCTAGCCCTCACACTCAGCTGCGGAGAGCTTCAAGGCGGGTCCTCATCTCCTCCATGTCCTCCTCAGCCTCCTCTTCTGAGTCCTGGGGAAGGGCTTCGGCTCCTGTAGGTTCTGATGGCAGTGCATCACTCACTGTCGCTGGGGCCTTGCCAAGTTCACCAGCTGTTATCTCCCACAGAATCTGCAATGCATTTTAAGGGTGGATCATAATGCCTTTTGTGCCTGATTTGTGATGCACACTGTAAAATTTTAGTAGTTGCAAATGCAACAGGTAATTTTTTTTTCTCTCTTTTACAATTTTTTGACTCGTTTACAGTAAATTGCGTATCTGGAAGAAGCCTCTGATAGTATGGATCTCAATATCACCAATGGATATCTCTCACACTGATATAAAGAGTTACTTCCTTAACAACTGCATCATTAATGAAAAGGCTATTGAAATGAATATCACCTTCCACCACCAAAATTATGTTCAATTCATGTTTCCTTCCAATAAATAAACAAAAAGTAATGTATTAGATGCTATATAGGATGCAATGGGGTATAAGATGTATCCCTATTTCAGCAAGGTATATGCAGGGATAACATGTATCTGCTCCTTCTTGCATAAGACCCAAGGTAATTTTTTGAGCCACTTTTGGGGAGAGAAATATGTACCTTGTTTTCCATCAAATACTGTTAACACGGTACTTTCTCATTTGACTGTGTATCTTTACTTGCTTACTGATGGGGATAACTAACCATTTAACATCTTTACAAAGATTTATCTGTAGATACATGCATACCTTCATTCTAAACATCCTACAAAGGCCAAAGAGTGTTTGTTGTTACATGTGTACCTAAAAACTTTATGAATGTTATTGTGGCCCATCTTCAGATGTGGAAGAAGGTACAATGTGGCAAGACCATAACCACTCGGTGATGAGTACAGCTACAGCCATCATGACGTAATCAAGTATTATGTGTATACACATCATAACTTGCTCAGCAGCCTGCTGTATACAACACAAAGCCTGCCAGGAAGACTATAATAATGTCACAAAAAATTCTAGCCCTGTCTTAATAGGGTTAATCTTTTTCATTGGTAGCATATCTCAAAAATGCATTGCTTTTTTTGGCTAGGAAGAAATGCGATATTCTGTTAGCTTCACTAGCTCCCCTAACCCCATGATAATGATCCATCTTCTTCAACTATGTATAATTCAAAAGTGGTAGTTGACAAATGAAAATAAAAGTTATTTTTCCCTTCTGCCCTTGCCTTGGTTGTAACTTTTTGCTAATGAAAATTGAACTGGTCTCTGGAAGTTTGGATTTGTCTGGTCATATTTAAATATTTTTGGTAGCTTCTCCCATAAAACCATGAAATTAGAAGAAAATATATGTGTATATAATTATTTTTTTCCCATGTTTACAAAAATACAGTGTTGGGAAAGCTATAACACAGAAACAAAACTCAAAAAAGTGAAAAGGAAAGGTCCATATCATAAAATAAGACTACTCCCATCATCACTGGCAAAAAATAATGACCTGAGCAGGGTTAGAACCTGCTCCCCTTCTAAAACAATTCCAAAAAGGAAATGTCCTTAAATACCCAGAAAAATCCCATATATATTAGTTATAGCTTGCTTTAAAAACAAAACAAAAAACTACCAATATTAATACTATCGATGATGATAACAATATTAATAATGGCTGCCATTCTTATAGCAAAGATAATTATAATAAAAAGTCACAATTGTCTTCTTCCATATAAAAAAAGAAGCAACCTCCTCTAAGCCATTTTCTGTTCAGAGCTTCAATTACCAAATTCCTGATGCATTAAAAGCCATACAGAAGGTATCCTCCTCTCCTTACCTTATCAATTTCCTCCTGTGCCTCTTCCTCCAACTCCTCGGGTTCCATGGACTCCATTGTGTCCTCCAGCATCTCCTCAATGATTCCTGCCTTCATCATCTCCCGACTCATATCCTGCATGGTTCTGCTGATCTCAGGGAGCTTCACCAACTGCTGCATTGTCTTCATCACTTCTGTGGACTGCTGGAGTGAGCCCGCCACACGGAGAGTTGCTGCATGAAAAGACAGATGAGAGGAACTAACATGAAACTCATTTGCACAGAGTACCATCTATTTTTTTTCACAGTTTACTTATTCAAATACTCATCCCTTTACATCAATATTGCCCCCAGACTTGAAATGATCTGACTTGGTTTACTGACTGCAAAAAATATATTATTTCAGTTGAAACTACTTCAAAATCTAATTCTTATATCTCCTGGATCATTGAAAAGTGGTACAATACTCTCTTATGATGTTGAGCAGCAGAAGTGAGATGTAGTTTCCATCAGATACATGATCATGAGAGTAAACATCCAATAATGCTTTTTTTTTCAAATACAGAATTTAATAAATCACATGAGATATACAATGTTCATATAAAATTAGATGCATGGGTGATAATTCTGCAAACTATAGTATGTTAACACTGGCTATTCTAAGTTATAATGTTTGAAAGGTTAGGTGTATTAAGAGCACTTTTCACTTCCGATATTTTAAACTTATGATAGGTTTCTTAGGAATGCAACGTCATCTTAAGTTTAGAAGCATCTGTTCTCACTTTTTAGTTCGCTTTTAGTGTACTGATAAAGTATAGTTTCATTTGAAGAATCATAGTCATAAATTTCATTGGGATTAACACACACACACACACACACACACACACACACACACACACACACACACACACACACACACACACACACACACACACACAACCACACCACACACACTTTAATAACTTACCCAACTGAGTTTTCATTTGTGACTGTATGGAGTTAAGATGGGCCTTTGTAGTGTAAATACGGGCCACAGCCTTACGAGACTGCACCAGCTCCTTGGCCAGCATCCTGCACACATCCTTATCTCCCTTCTTAGCAGCTTCCTTCAAGGAGCGCTTCACCTTTTCTTCCTCACGCTGGATTGCTGAAACAAACACGGATATTTTTTTGTAGTTTTAAAGTCAAATCATCAAAAGCAGAGTAATATTCCAAAGCATAAGCCTTATGCAATTTTCTTCAACATTAAATAACAAATCAATACAAAAGAGAAGAAGAAAGAAAGAATGAAAAAAGAATAAGAAAAAAATGAGTACAAGCAAGTCATTGACAGACTGTTCAAAATATTACTTTTTTTTCCATTCATTTTCTTAGAACAATAACAATAATAAAAATAGTAAATAGAAACTGGGAATCTCTACAACACATATGGCATTACTAATCTTACTTCGAATCTGACGATCAAGTCCATATCCCTCTTTTCTAATTCGGCTACACCATTCATTAACCTGTGAAAAAAAAACAATGAAAATAAATTACTCACCTTCCTATTAAATGGGATTGTATACCCTATTCTTGAAAATTTGTAGACTACCAAAGTATTCACATAACTGATAAAAAAGAAAAAGAAAAAGAACGAAAGAAAGAAAAAATCCCTAAAATTGATAAAGAAATATACAACCGGAAAGAGTAAAACTATAAAGCAAGACAGCTTAATAAAACCATTTTATCAGTATTCTCCACTGATATGAGATGCCAAATATGGCTGGATTTATCTCTCAGAGTCTATTACAAAGTCTATTATCATAAATAATGGTAATGATTCAGTAACTTAAAAACTCCTTCAGCAAAGGATTGCAGATATTAATGCAATGACAAGACAGCTGATACAATGAAGATGTGGCTCAAAATTTCTAAAAATGTGGATATTATATACTAACATTGTCCTATAATCATAAATAAAAAAAAACTATACTACATTCCAATGTTTCACTTCAAATATATCTATAAGCTTCATCCTCCTCCCCTCTCTAATCCCATGCTCCTTGTTGTTGTGGGGAGGGCTTAGGAGACAAGGTCTGAGGCCCAATTTAGGGGATTACGCCTGCCATGGAGCTCAGCCCTCACCTCAATTAATTTTGCATGGTCTTTTCTCCTTCACCTTTCATTTTCCTTCTCATCTTCATCTCCTTCTGTCCACATACTAAAGTGTGAGAGCCATGCTGTAAGGATGAAAGGCTGGCTTTGTGTCAGTCCCGAATGGCTTTTGTACTTCATTTGCTATTTACTCTTTACCATTTTCCTTTATCCAACATATTTTGTTCTAATTGTTGATACATTTTATACCTTTTTGCTACAATACTTTACCATAATGCTGTATGATCCTTCCTTACCAAGCCTCACCCTATTGCTATATGATAGGAGTTTGTATTCATGAAAAATAGCCTCCAGGCTAGTACAGTGGTAACGTGTCGGCTTCTCATCCGAGGGGTCGGCGCTTTGCGCCCCACCCAGGCGCCTGGAGGTTACTGCTGTGGCTGGGCACCACGGTGGGTAAGGACTAAGCTCTGTCGCGTCAGCACTCGCTGACACACGTTGATCGAGTCGACATCTGTCGGCACAGGCCGGGCTCCCCCACAGCCCGGGCCAGGCTCAGCTTCGCATATCGGACTTATCCTTATCATGAAAAATCTGGCTCGAGGCTTAGGTAATGGAAATGTCCAGTCACGAAAAATTTGGCCAAATGTTGGGATAACAGGAATGTCTTGCCATGGAAGAAGATCAGACTCAATGGGCATTTAGGCTGGAGCTCTTATGTCATTTTCACTGGTAAAAGAGTGTTGCATATACCATCTGTGACCCAAGGTTAGAAGAGTGGCTGCTCTAGGGAGGAACTTAGCTCTATACTCAGGATCCTATTCCTGCTCTCCATGGCCAGCAGAGCAGTAAGTGCTAAAGAATATTTGATAATACAAGGTTATAAATAAATGACAAATAGCAATGTAATTATTACTATTGTTACTGCATTGGGTTGTAGAATACAGCAAGAGACGACAGATAGTATGTGCCTGGAGAACTGTCTCTTATTGTCTTGATATAGCATTTCAAATGACAAATATGACCTTGGAAATTGGCAAAGAGAGAGAGAGAGAGCTAGAGAGAGAGAGAGAGCTAGAGAGAGAGAGAGAGAGAGAGCTAGAGAGAGAGAGAGAGAGCTAGAGAGAGAGAGAGAGAGCTAGAGAGAGAGAGAGAGAGAGCTAGAGAGAGAGAGAGAGAGCTAGAAAGAGAGCTAGAGAGAGAGAGAGAGAGAGCTAGAGAGAGAGAGAGAGCTAGAGAGAGAGAGAGAGAGAGAGAGAGAGAGAGAGAGAGAGAGAGAGAGAGAGAGAGAGAGAGAGAGAGAGAGAGAGAGAGAGAGAGAGAAAAAAGACAAAGGGTGGAGGCAGGGGAGAGGGAGTTTTGATGCTGCACACATATTGTGATGTGGGTGGGGCCTACAAGCAACACAACCAAGAGAGTTTCTACTCAAGTAAGCCCATTGCCCAGATTTTGGGCCACTTGCAGGTGGCAAGGTACTTGGATACAACAGGTTAATAACAAGTCAGTAAGGTCTATAGACCGATTCGGTAACGCCTAGCAACCGTCCCTAACAATGAGAACTTAGTGAAAACAAACCCTCATGCGTTCGAAATCTCACTGTGCTTTGCTTACAGAGTCACTGAAATTTTGCGAGAATTTAGTTTCTTTGCGTGAAAATGCTGAGGAGCTGTGTTGTTGTTGGTTGTTCGCACCACAACATGATGGGAAAGAAAGATTTAGCCTTTCATACATTCCTAGATTGCGAAAAGAAACTTGCAAAATGGAAGCGATGGGTACAGGCCATGAAACGCGTGAACGCTGATGGGAGTGCTTGGGCATCTGGTGGAAACTGTTTACATATATTTCACACTTTTCATATTCTAGAGACAGATAATAACTTTCAAACTCTATCTATCTATACTATCTACCAAAGCCACACAAGGTCAACATTGCCGACATTGGATTTTGGCAGCAGTCCGACATTAGGTTTTGGCAGCAGTCATACACTCCAAAAAGCACAACAGTAATTTTACATTTTTCTGTAATCATATTGATTTATCATAATTTTAATTTACAGGCAAACCATCCCTGGATTCAACTCACCCAGACTTTATCCCAAACACAGTCCTTTAGATCAAAACAAAGCAGTCATACTGTTAAAAAGATTTGACATACAAAGAAAAGAGGCCTAGTTCAGGAGATGCCAATCATTCAGAAGAAACCAAAGTTTCCTGTTGCCTCTGTGTCTGAAAAGTCATATAGTCCAGCAGATGAAACAACTGAAGCGGGCCTATCTCAAATTACTGAGGAAAGAGAAAAATGCATTGTGTGTTTGTAGGCTTTTATGTGACTTCACTGTCTCCTTTGTGTAAACACCTTGTAAATAGGAAGAAAATTGATGTTAGGAAAAGGCACTGATTTCACAGAAAAATAACCTATATAGCTAAAAATCACAGATTACTGTAGCAAATTATGTCATCATAAAATCATTTTTATTACAGGGTGTCTTGATCAAATATGATATTCAATATTTCATAGGTTCGTCGATCCCAATTTCGGCAGGCAGACGGTATGAGCATTCTTGTAGCTGTACAGCTTCTAGTATTGGCTCATTTTGCTTTTTCGCTTCGGTTTTTAAAGAATCTAAGCATTCATACTCCATTTTCGCTCATGCTGATAACGAGGTATCTGCGAGCGACGGGTTTGTTTTCACCAAGCGGAATTGCTACTCTGACTCGTGACGTCACACCGAATCGGTCTATAATCTTTCACTTGCCAGAATTTACTGTAAATGGAGGAAATTTACTGCCCTTCACTTTCTGCTGATTGTTTTCATTACCTTTTGGTGTTAGTGTCTTTTCTTTTATTTCACTTTATCTCAATGCAGTCCTCATTTCAAGATTGACACTGCACTGCATGATTTGGCAACGGTGAACAAACCTTTACCATGCCTAAAACATATCAAACTCCCTTGTTATTTATCACCAAACAAGCTGAAACATCATTCTAAGCTTTATCTTGTTGAATTTAATTGGGATTTGTTGGCGTTTCCTTCCATGGAAGATGCCAATAAATGACGGATTTAAAAAAATATTGTCTCTGGCAAGTGCATCCATACTGTAAAGAAATACCATAATTTCCAGGCCTTATTTAATTACTCATTAGCAAAAGATTAATATACCTATAGCAATGAGGCGTAGGTATGTGATTTTCTAATACCGCTACATCATTAACCTGTGAAAGACAATGAAAACCTATGACTGCACCTTTTTGTCCTCTACAAGAATATTATTTTTAATCTGTCCTACCTTAGTGCTTCCATATAAAGATCAAGCAAATTTATGAAGTAGCACATCCCAGTTGATACATTACAGGAATTTCTGTGATCAACCCAGTTATCATGGGTGACAAGTGCAGTTAATGGTAGTGCCAGAGTCAATTATGTAAATTATAAAACATGTTATATGATCACCAAATTTACTCTCTTTTTTTTCAAGATCAGATCACATATTCCTACATAGTTGCACCAAGATACGATTGCAAAATAGTCTTTTTAAAGTTTGATTTCTGTCTAACTAGATGAGAGAATTTACCACAGGTTCTTTCCATCTCCTCTGGTTACAAGATGATATGAACTAATACTCATGTCATTTCGAAATGACCACAGAACCAACGTTTCAATGTACAGACCAAATTGCACTGCAAGCAACTCTTCAATTTCACTCAAATTCGTCATCGCCAGAGGGACAAAATGCCTTTCATTAAGATCCACTAACCTGGTCTTTGGGAGATTTGGAGGGAGACTTGGAAAACAAACCCATTTTCCCGTTTTTCGATGGAAATTAGGGGTATTTTTTCACCTTCCTTAATTTGGCTACCTTATGAGTCAACAGACTTGTTCGTGCGGCTTCTTTCACACTGTATCATACTTGTAGAAAATACTGAAACAACAAATGTATTATTATTTTTGTTAGGCATGAATACGCAAAAATAACAGAAAACAAGCTGAATGGGATAATAGTGATATCATACGAGAATTAAAAAAAAATGATGTAAAATACTGCCAAACGAAATTCAACCATATAATTCGGACAAAGTGGAAAAGGATGTCAACAAAGAGGGAAACATCTTTTAATTCCCAATAAAGTAAATATTTCGAGTCGCAGATGGTATTCGAACTCATGAATAGATAAGAGCATATGTTTTGACTAAGAATAATATCTTATCACAGACTTCTGTTCTCCTGAAACACTACCAAATGTAAGTTACACTGCCTTTCTTTTCCCCCGGGAAATTCAACTCTCTCCCTCTCTCTCTCTCTCTCTCTCTCTTCTCTTTCTCTCTGTCTCTGTTCTTGTCTGTCTGTCGTGGTCTGTCTGTCTGTCTGTCTTGTCCTGTCTGTCTAATCTCCCTATTTCCCATTTCCCTCATGCTCTCCTCTCTTCTTTTTTCTTTTTCTTTTCAATTCTTATTCTTATTTCTCTTTATTCTATCCGTCTCCATTACTCATCCTTCTCCTCTCTCTTCGTCTACTGCTCTACTCTTGCTCTCTCTCCTCTCTCGTCTCTCGAGAGAGGACGAGAGAGAGAGAGAATTGAGACAGGAGGAAATGATGTACGATGAGATACTGA